TTTTGTTATACTTGGCTTTGTATAAATTTTGGTAAGCTACTTTCTCTACGGGAAGCGCTGCCGAAATTTCTGCAAATCCAAGGAGTTAGTCAAATTTATGACTTCTCAAGGTTCAACTTGTCTAAAGTTCATATATGGCTTAGTAGAAATCTGGGAAGTCTCATTTTCTAAAGGGAGTGCTGCCCAAATTTTTGCTAATTTAGGGAGTTAGACAAAATTGAACTGTGGGAAGTCAAAGAATATTTCTGTTTTCATATTCGGGCTTATATAAATTCTGAGAAGGCACTTTTCCTACCGGAAGCGTTGCCGAAATTTTCTTAGTTTAAAAAAAGTTAGATTATATTTCGACAGGTGACGATTTTGGTAATCCACCCTGGATAGGGGAGATTATGCCATAAGTCTACCTTTCTTTAGACGCTGGCTTAGAGGTAGACTTAGGTTTAGCTATTAGGGAAGACTCTGAGAGAGATTGTGGTATGGGGATTATTCTCTAGGAGCTTATGGTTTTAGCCTGGGGCGTTGACCCGTCTTGTGTTACATGTCCTTTCAATCATCTGACTTAGGATTTTGACTAGTTTCAGCTTGATCCTCCGAGGATCATTTTCTGTTATCACTGATAACAGGTCGGCTGGTTGATCGCCGACTTGTCGGCTCACGACACAACTTTGCCTATACCTGTACGTCAACTTGACTGCCTTAGCCCTGAGTTTCGATATGTTTCTTTGAGGGTTTTTTAACCGGACTTCTTTTAAATGACCATTATAAAGAATTTGTGAGATTTATGGAGATTTTGACTATGACTGGGGCTTGAGTGTGAGGCGTGGTGTGAGTTACAGGGAATAGTAAAGTTGACCACATTGGTGTATCGCAATGAGGCTATTGTGTGTGCCTGTGTTTTATGCAGGTTAGTATTCTGAAGCTTGTATATGGGTCATACTTTGGAGGCAGTGAGAATGGCAACCATGTGTTGTACGATCTGCAAACCTGATGGGTTTATGTTTCTCCTCCTTTTGTTATTATCTCGATATCTGATTCGATATATAAGTGGTGGGGTGTTTATTTATTTATTGGATGATTTTGTTTGTTAAGTTTTATAGTTGAACGTTGTAGACCGTGGCAGCCGTCAAAGTCAAACCCCTTGACTTCTGTCCAGGCCTGGAGTGGGGCTCATCTCCAGGGCAGTAAGAACCGACTGCCATCATAGATATGGACATGTGTACCACCCGCTCTGCACAGAGTGCAGAAGAGGGTGTGTGGTCTTCAACCCCGCTTGGCGGTTGTCCGGCATCGAGAGACTAACCCTCAAGGCGCGTGTCAGCCGACACTTCAGCTTCGAATGCAACCCTCGAGATTAACGAGGACCGCACGATGATGGGCACTACATAGTACGCCATCATTGTGACTGCTTGTGTACATTTACATTGCGAGTCGATATGAGTTAGCCCTGCGCCCGCGCAGTTTTATATCAAGTCTCGCGCGCGACGCCTAGAGTTATGGGATGGCTACTAAGGGACTAGGAGTGTTGTCGTGTTGTTTAATGTGTGTGCGTGTGTGTGTTTTATTTTTGTGTTCGTAAAGTGGTATGCGCGTGGTGTGTAGGATGCGTCCTAGTCGACCGATGTCGGGCCGCGCTTGGGACTTTAGTTCCCCAGGATGTCGGTTCGCGTGTGGGTCCGATAGGCGTATTACCGCGCGTACCCCCTATGCTACAGCGAACGAGAAACGCCCTCGGCTGGTCCACCTCTGAGATTGCAACTGATTAACTTTCGTACTGTGGACTGGTAGCTCGGCGGGGATACGCCCACCGAAGGGAGGTGACAACTCCCGTAAGGTGGAGGTAAGTTGTGCCCCGCGTAGACCCTATCCTATCGTAGGGGCTCGCGAGAGGTATGGTTGGCGCACTCGGGCGGAGCGGCTTGCGGAAGCTCCATGTATATTCGCGACGAAGGATTCAAAACGAAGTCCTGCGTGACGTGGCCGGGAGGGTCCCGCGCTGCCACGTGCGGTGCCGGACTGATGCGCCCGACAACGCCACCCGATGGAGGCCCACCACCAACAGTTGCCGTTGGGGGACTACGCAAACGTCGGAGGCCGGGGATGTCCGTGCTAACGCCGCTGGACCACATCTGGACCACCCAATAACGAAAACTCTCCGTCGACGCATGTCTTCGTAGCTCTGTGAATCACGGGTCTCTTGGAGATAAGGAAATTTTGATTGGGGCCACAAGGATGGCACAATGAATTTTCCTTGTGGCGTTTTCACATTTCTTTTTCAATTTCGTCCCCAAGGACAGGTGGAACAAGTGCGTCCTTGTGGATTTCATGAGGAGTGTCTAACGATGCCCTAAGCTTTCAAAAAAAAAAAAAAAAAAAGAATTGACGAAAGGACTGTGGGGGCGCCACGGAGAGTTGACAATGTGGGACCATCGCCTTTTTGGCGAGTTCCCGCGCGCCCAATTCGTGAAGTTACAAAGAGGAATGCTGTCGGAACCTTCTTCTACGAATATGTCCTCAAATACTATGTCCTCAAATACCGACAAAATGCGTCGAGGACTGAGAAAGGGCCAGATCCCACAACCCTGGATTATTCATTTTTTACCCTCGATTACGAAGATCAACGGTCAGATATGAACAATAGGGGCTAGTGGGATCTGGCCCAAAGAAAGGACACAGCGCGCCCCGCCCTATGAGAACCCCTCCCTCGGGCGTACTTCCCCTGGCATGCGCATTCCAATTCAATTACCTATCGAATCTGGACAGGACGGCCTTTCATGCCTTTTTTATTATCATTATAGTGTTTTTTTGTTTTTTTTTGTTTTTTTTCGTTTTTTTGTTTTTTTTACTTACGAGACTCCCATCCCACCACTCCTCTCGATATATATCTCCTGGCGCACCCCCACTCCATTTCTATCTTACCTCATGCGAGGAACATCACTCTCTACTGGAGCAACCTGACCAGACAGCGGATGCGGGCACTGACGCCGAATGAGCTCCCCCATTCAGCCCCAGTTGAGGCACTAGCGTACAAGCCTCGTTATACGGGAACCTCGAGAGCTAGGCACATAGTTCTCAACTAGTCCCCTGAGTAGTGAGGACACTCATAGGCAGTGTCTAATGGTCAACTAACCAAGGTCTTAACCTATGAGCCCCTCTAAGCACTAACTTATCACAGCTCGGATCATATATGTCTACTGTTAGTTGTTGAGTATGCTGGTTGTTATGTGAGCTAATGTGATATCATAGTCTATGTGGATGTGTGTGGTTGATTTCTGGTTGTGATGAGCCTTGGTTATGTCTGTTCGCTAGGGAGAATCAACCAGTGGTAATGGTGGAGACCTCGACCATCGTCTAACAACTACCCCCAACCTACCTCTGATAACCCACCACCCCGAAACGGGTCCACAGACATTGAGAGTAGGACACACCTCTCGATTCGACATTGGTTTCCCTACAAGGCAACCCTCCCCACCATAGGACTGCCACGGTATCACCATGCACCCAACCAACCCCTTACTACTCACCTGCCCAAGAGAGTAGCATCCATCCCACATCAACTTTCCCGCAGGAAAGGCACATGTCCCTACCCGAAACCATGTAGAGGATCATCCCTTAGCTGATGTGATGAAACCATGTAGAGCTCTACCCACTGAGCTATTGAGGTTGTTAGTCTCTAAGGGCGCTATGCCAGGCTCGGGAGAAGTACGTGGGGTGCAACCTACACCAACCAATTGTGCTCAGGGGAAGTTGTGGGCCGACACCCCACCAACCGATTGTGCTCAGGGGAAGTTGTGGGCCGACAAAGTCGAACCCACAACCTCCCCGTTGCAACACCGGAGCTCTGCCCACTGAGCTACCATGTACTTGCTTACCAACTGACCATCTAGAAGGTAAGACGCCAAGCAGGCAATGGGAGTTGAACCTCCTGAGTGCCGTTTGAACGCCTTACCAACTGAGCTACACCCAGTTGGCATTGTCATTATAGCATTACATTATAGTATTACGGGGAACCCTGTAGCAGCCCCATCTGTGCTCAAGCCTCCAACGAGGGAACATTTGAGAGCTGCACCCAGCAGTAGGTGCTATACCTGCTGCAGCAGGTGGGCGATACCGGCCAGGGGTCAGCCGGTAGCATCAGGACCGAGCTGCTTCGATGGGCCAGTCACTGTGCATCCCCTCCGGTCCCCTCCCTCTCTGAGCATCAGCAGTCTCTGCTCAATGCTGCTCGGGGCCCCATTGGCCTCGTGTACCTTCTTGGGCAAGCTTAGCGTCCGCCACCTAGAGATATGACGCGTATTAGTTTTCACATTACTTTCCTGCCCTTGAATTAAAAACCCCGCGCGAAATTCATGTTCAAGCACAAAATTCATTCTCAAGCTGCCGGCCGCAGTGCACCAACCGATCTGTACTTCGCCGCCGAAAGGCTTGCTCAGGAACGAACGCGTGATCTTCACCAATTGGTGGATGGAAGCAGGAGCAAAATTCCAGCAACGAAGCGTGCCCCCAAAATAATACGTCGTGGTAATCGCAGTCGAGAGTGGTCACACGGAATCTCACAGACCCTAGGAAAACATGACATGAAAGGCATGCCGGCGTTGGCCGGAATTTTGATGCCGCCACTCCACCACACTCATCGAGCAACAGGGCCTGTAACGCAACAAACAAGCTAAGTCAAGTTGGTACTGGAGTTGTCCTTCGGGACATCCGTTAAAATTGGAACGATACAGAGAAGATTTTTTTTTTTTTTTTTTTTTTCGCGTGTCATCCTTGCGCAGGGGCCATGCTAATCTTTTCTGTATCGTTCCAATTTTAACGGATGTCCCGGAGGACGATACAGAGAAGATTAGCATGGCCCCCTGCGCAAGGATGACACGCATAAATCGAGAAATGGTCCCAAAAAAAAAAAAAAAAAAAAGTTATTAACTGGAGTTGGCGGCAATAGTCACCGTGTTGACGGTCCAGTGCATAAAGTGCGGGGAGTGTCCGGTGTACGGAATCTTAGCGTACGAGGAGGACGTGGCGCGCAACGTACAGTAGTAAGGGCACACTCACTGTTGGACACTCTAGAATGTATCTGGCATCCGTGGCCGCTAAATTCTGTGGAAGAAGTACAAGTGCGAGTACGGCCTAAGAGAGGCGGGAGGGGGAAGAAGGTGAACAAGCAGGAGGGCGGCTTAGGAAGACAGGGGGACGGAGGAGAGAGAGGGAGAGGAGGACGGGGAGGAGATAAGGGGTTCTATAGGAACATGCGCACGAAGAGGGGGAAGGAGGCGGAGGAGGAGGAGGAGGTATGGTGTTAGGGAAGAACTGTATAGAGGGATTGACAGAGAGATAGTACGAGGAGGGATAGGAGGAGAAGAAATAGAGGAAGAAGAGGAGAGGGAGGAGACGAGGAATAGGGCGGGGTTTAGGGGAGACAAGGAAAAGCAAGGACCCACAGTCACGATGGGTGACCCACTACATGAGCTGCTACTGCCCCTGTCCGCGTGTCCCGATCCCGTCAGGCCGGCTAGTCTCTCTGCCGCCGATTTGCACGCTTGTCTTCAGCGCCTTCGTCAACGATCGGAGGAGGTGAAAACGAAAGTTCGTGGACTTGTCACAGCGCTCAGTGACGTGGACAAGAGTGTGGATGACGTGGCACCCCTAGCCGCGGAGATCCCGCGGCTGCTGGAGCGCCTCCTTCCTGGAATTGCGCTTGGTAATGGGGGGGTCTGCGAAGAACTCGCAGTAGAAGACGACAAGGATTCCCCGGCCGCGGGATCTCGACTTGCCTCCGAAGTCGGACTGAAAGCGACCGCGACCGCGGGGACGACGATCACAGATGGCGTGGCAGACATCGAGTCCTCCACCTCCACCTCCACCACCATTACCACCTCCTCCTCCTCCTCCTTCGCTGACGCATGTTTCCCGCCTTCTGTGTCGGCGATCGGGGGCGACATTTCTGCAACTGCCCGGAATGCGAGGAGGGTCAAGCGAGAGCTCCGGGAAATCGAGGACTCGATCGAGACGGTAGAAATGGTGGTGGGAGTGCACGAAGTGCTCACGATGATAGACAAAAGCTTGCTGAGAGGGGAGATCGTGGACGCGGCCAGAGCAGTTGTGCGGCTAGAAAGGGCAATCATTCGAGCTGGAGTGAAGAGAGAAGCAGATGGAAAAGATGATGATGATGATGACGAGGAGGAGGAGGAGGAGCGTGTTTTGGAGAACGTCGGTGAAGAAGAGGTAGGGTTGGTTGTGTTGTCGGAAGGAAGAGGAGAAGGTGCGCTTGCATCCGGTGCGCCATCTTCCACGGTGGCGGTCATCGAACAGGTGGCTTCAGAGCGTGGCGATGGTGGTCAGCAGCAAGCCAAGGAGAGGGAGGAGAGACACAGCGAGAAGGCGGAGGAGGAGATCCGCGTGTTTGGTATCCTGAGAAGCGAGTTCTCGCTGAGAAAGACAAAGTTGAAAGGTATTCTTGAGAGTCTGTTTCGGCGCGCATTGGTGATCGACCGGATTCATTGTGAGCTCAGGTGGATGCCAATAGTGCAGCTCTTTCGAAGACACAGTGGTAGTAATTCCGGCCAGATCAGCGGAACGGATCTGAATGATACGGATGTTGATGTCGGTTTTGGTGACATTCTTGATGCTTTGGAGGTAAGCATCACACTCTCATAACCTTTTCTTTAGTTTTTTCGGGAGGGGGGGCGAGGGGGACGGAGGGTAACATTCTGGATGCTGTAGACATCAGCATCACTCTCAAAGCCCTTTTTTTTGGGGGGGGGGAGTGGTTGATATTCCTGATGCTGCTCTCAAACCTTTCTTTTCCTTCTCTTTCTGTTTCTCAATGTTAAAAGCATCATTCTGTAATCTGATAGCGTGTACCCCTCTCTCTCGTTCTTATGGGCTCAAGATCGTCTAGTTTTTTCGTGAGGGGGGCCGAGGGGGACGGAGGGTAACGTTCTGGATGCTGTAGACGTCAGCATCACTCTCAAACCTCTTTTTTTTTTTGGGGGGGGGGGAGTGGTTGACATTCCTGATGCTGCTCTCAAACCTTTCTTATCCTTCTCTTTCTGTTTCTCAATGTTACGCGTCATTCTTTAATCTGATAGCGTGTACCCCTCTCTCTCGTTCTGATGGGCTCAAGATCGTCTAGGGGACACTCACACTGGGTCTCTTTGGGATGCATCTGGGCAACCGCTCGGGACAAATTCAGCTGAATGCTGCTGAGAGGGACCTGGCTTGCCTACCCAGAAGCTACCTAAATCGATAGATCATGAACTGCAGGAAATTTTACAAGCTGCAGAGAAAAAAACAACGAGCTTTCAGGAGATTTGTTTGATTTTTCTTTCTCTCTCTTTTCGTTTGAATAGTAAAGATCATCTCTCAAACAAAGCTCGCTTCAAGGGCCGGATCTTTTTACATGGAGCATGAGACGAAATGGCGAACTAGACCTACTGCAATACAGAAAAGGTTAAAAAGAACTCCAGAAAGCAAGGAACCCCAAGATACTGACGACGCACACTGGTGACGATGAGAGAAGTCGAGAAACTAGATTGGCTTGGACCTCATTAGGACCCAGGACCCAATGGGGATCCATTGTCTTTTTTTTTTTTTTTTTTTTTTTTTTTTTTTTTNGAGAGAGAGAGAGAGAGAGAGAGAGAGAGAGAGAGAGAGAGAGAGAGAGAGAGAGAGAGAGAGAGAGAGAGAGAGAGAGAGGCAGGCGATATGTGTTGAAAGAGAGACACAGAGAGGGTTAAAAGAAAGAATGCCTGATCAGGCACACATCCGAACGAGTCGCCGCCCACCATCCGCCTTACCTGCGAAAGAGAAAAAACATTTCTAAGCCCGACCCTGCGTTCGCCGGGACAAATGAACACTTGCCATCACCTCACTGGGAATCGAAATGCTCAATGCAAGGAAAAAAAACACGTGGATGAAGACGGCGAAAACAAGCAACAAATTTCTATCTTAGAAATCAAGAAGACATCTGTACTTACTAGCACTGTAAATACACATCACTGTAATGCTATTTTTGGCGTATGTATAGTTTCTCGGGCGGAACGTTATTTCGCTTGACTTGATTGTTGGCTGAATGCGAAGAAGAAGAATGAAACACGCAGGAAACGCGAAGGGCGTCATGCTCTTCACACCAGATCGGGCTTTTCTCGCACTGGTAGGTATGGATCGTACCTCATGTTCAGCCAGATATGGCCGAAATCTTCTGATGTGACTAGTACATGCCTTGCACGCAACCGGCTTTCTCTTTTCCATCGCGTTTGTTTGCTTCACCGCCACCGAAACCATCGCACTAGTAGATATGTATCTGACCCGGTTTTCAGCTGGATTCGGCCGGAATCATCTGATGCGAGAAGTACAGGCCTTAGACGCAACCGGCTACCTATTCGAGGTCACATTTGTTTGCTTCATCGGCAACGAAACCATCCCATTTCTCCGACGCTGTGGCCGGAGTATGTTGGTAGCGATGAAACGTCGTTGTCACTTTTTTTTTTTTTTTTTTTTGGTTGTTGTGGCATAGTTATGATGAGTTGTGACAGGTGCATGACAATTGACAGCGAACCCACATCCTTTTGTTTTATGGTTGACGTCTACAGTTTTGCTGTCTTTGTACTCCCCTCAACCATCAACTCGAAGGAAGAGTTTATGGTTTACGTCTACAGTGTCTGCTATTTCTGCGTTTAAACTGTTGACTGAGCCATGCTGCAAATTGCCACGCTGGCACACTGGTATTCTGGTGCATTGCCACTATGGCGCGTTGCCGTGCTGTGTCCGACGTCCGGCACACGTCCATGACGGTGAAGCTCTGCAACGGCGTGCGCGTGCGCGCGCAAACTCCTGCGTACAAAGTTCACTGCTGCACCTGCGCATTGCTGTGTTATGCTGGACATTTGCGTTGCGATGCGATGCGATGCGATGCGGGGGGCAAATCGTTGTCGTGCTCTGCAGCGTGCGTATATTGTCGGTACACTGCCTTACTGGCACGCTGTAAGCTTGCGGGCTGCTACGCTGGCACCACTTCTGTGCTTTGCTGGCACATCGCTGTGTTATGCCATCCGCTATGCTGGCTGGCCCACGATGCTTTTGGTCAGCAATCCGCTAGGCTGGCACAATGTCATGCTACGCCATGCTGTGGGAATTGCTTGGCTGGCATATTGCTGTGATAGTGCAATTCCTTACTGACCGATAACTATGCTGTCACAGTGCTATGCTTTGCCGGCAGTTTGTTGTGCTGGCTTGTGTTACACTGCCGTGCTGGCAGAGTGTTATGCTGTCTCCCAGGGCCGAAAGGACCACACCCTCTGCGCTCGCGCGCTTCCCTGAATGTTTGTGCGTGGCGGTTGTGTGTGTGTGTGTGTGTTGTCATATTCTCTATACACTAAAAAAAAGCATGACTGTGGCGGACTGTTTCGTCGGACTTTCACCGACTCATCAAGAGGCTGGACCCCGACAGTCTGCCCAGGACGCATTTTTGACTGATGGATAAGGACTCACCACATCGCCCAGAATTAGCGATACCCCCCCGTGAGAAAAGTGGTCGACTTTACTCACACCAACCCTGCAATCCTAGCAGACTGTTGGTCCAAACCCCTGACAAGAACGGCAGTAAGTCTGAGGAACTGGTCTGACACAGTCGTGTGTGTTGTTTTAAAAGACCCCAGATTCTCTATCATTCCCTTCACAAATCATCACAAGCCACCCATAACGAAAAAGTTCAGATGGGCAATATAATAGAAAATGCACGGTTGGCCACGTTTGTGTGGTTCAGCGCCAAATGCCCTGACACCCGTCTACCGCCAAAGCGGCACACTTGCACATATACATATGTACTAGATGACCCGTTGCAGCTTCGCCCGCAAAAACAGAAAACTAAAAAGCACAAAAGAAAGAAAAAGCATAAGGAACTGCCCTATCATATGCCGCTTCTTTCACAAAAACAAAAAGAAGAGCCTGAGGGCATACAGAAATCCGCGTGCAAGAAATAGGAGGGAATACCACCGAACTTTTTTTGTTTCTTTATCCGCAAGTGTTTTGTTTGGGAAGCCGGCGCCTTTGCAGCACCGTTTTCCTTTGGTGCTGTGCAAGAACTGTGAACTTTTATGAGAAAATCCTGCCCGTAGTCCCGTTGACGTTTTTGCTAAAGATTCCGATTCAGACTTTTGTTTGCTATGTTCTCTTGTGATAAAGCGATCTTGCATGTATGCCTCGTGCTTACTTGCCGAGTCTTGACTCTATGTGCGCAAGTGCATGCGCGTGTGGGTGAGTTCTCTCAGGTTTGCGATCAATCGATCTTGCACGTATCCCTCTTCCCCGGGCCAATCATCAATGACATGCGCTTGTTGTCGAGTTCGTGGGGTCGGATGATGTCATTGATGATTGGCCCGGGGAAGTTGTTGGAAGGCGCCCCCAACAACAATAGGAGTGCCACTGATGTTAAGAAGCAGGGGTTGTGCATTGTATGAATGATGAAACAATCAGCAGCATTCAATCTGCTTGGCAGTCTCTCTTCATGTGGGGGACTTGTCGGGAGTAGCGTTGACATGGGAGCCATAATGCCGGGCGTTCATTTTGCAACATTTCCTGGAAGGCAGACGGCCCCCCCCTTCTCTCTCTCTCTCCCTCTCTGTCTCTCTTCCCCCCTTCCCCCCTTGACTTGGAGCTTGGAACCCTTTACTCCACCCCGACCTTCCCCTAACACCGCCTCCCCCTCCCCCCCCCTACCCTCTCTCTTTCTCTCTCTCTCTCTCACTCTCTCTATCTCTCTCTCTCTCTCACTCTCTCTCTCTCTCTCTCTCTCTCTCTCTCTCTCTCTCTCCCTCTGTGTGTGTGTGGGTGTCTGGGTGATACTAACACAAATCATCAAAACTTGGCATAAGCTGGTC